TTCACTTTCGCCAGAAAGTCGTGTATGCTTAAGAGTGAAAATAAATGACGTTTATAGTGAATGCCCCTATAAATTGTCTTATATTTTCGATTTAGTTTTAATCCAAATGATGCGTGTGCTAAGTGAGTGAACATTAAAGATCACACAACAGAAGTGCGCGCTCTCTCTCTCTCTCCTCCCTCCCTACCATTAAGTAACTTGTGCCTTATTTTACTTACTTCTTTTTGACATATCCGACCGAACTACAAACTTTCCAGTGATGTCTGTGAGAAAGGGATATTCACTCGACAAGCTCGCGCATCTGCGCCGCTGCACGCTCAATCCACTCAGCGTGATTTACTTACCAGCTGGCGCAAATCAGCTATACTGGCATTAATACTGAATGTTTTATATTCATTGCATACATATACTTCGTAGACATCTTTAATCTCTAATAACTCCATTCTGCTGTCTGTTGTCGGTGTTTCTTTGTCTGAATATGGCACTTATCACATGCTGTGTGGTATCGGCGTTTGGTATCTGGGCATTTTAACGAGTACAGGAGCTCAGTATCGGGCCCGATACCGATACCAGTATCGGTGCATACCTATTAGGAACATCTATATCTATATATCAGTGAAACACTTTTTAGTTCCTTCAAGTTAATGTCTTATTCAGATCTCCATTCATGTAAACAAATAGCCTACATTCCTGACAAGAAATGAAAGCGAGCTATTGATCCAAATGAGTTATTCTGGAGGTACTAGACTGAGATACTGTACATGATATTCATACTGCCAGTGCAAACTGCAAAAAAAGAATATATATAACAAATTTTTAACACTGGAAATAAATACCTGTATATTTTGTAATAGAACCTCAGTTTAAGAGAAATTGAAATCATTAACAGAACATATTCCAAACATGACTAGCTAACAACGTCAAGTAGAATCAACATTCCATGGGTGAGAAACAGCCCACAGACATGCCGCTTTCTAAAGGTCAGTGGTGAGACTGCAACAAAGACTCATTTCTGATGTAGTGAACACTCAAATCCACAGAAATGTGAAAATGACTCCTACTCTGGGTTTATGAGTGCTGTGCTGGAAAAGGCACAAAACGCCTGGCGATTTAAAGGGGGATATCATTTTAAAGTGAACATCGCTTAGGATGAAAAGTTTCTTGCTACATTCAAAATAAAACTCTGCACACAACTGATATATGTAATTTATGATGCTGTACTTTTATATTTAACAATAACAGCTTTATGCTACATTGTTTTCAGATGACATTACTATTTTGCAGGTTTACACAACCATCTTCTCACTATAAATTGTTACCTCTAGAAAGATTTCTCAGTACTTGGAGTGCTAGATTAGGATATTGTTCTAAATTTTGTTACCATTTGATTTGAATCGTTACAGACTCAGCAGACTGTCCTTGTTTTCCCCCACATTCATGACACTATAAATTAATATAAATTAAACATTTATATTTTGGCTTCATCAATGGGAGGTTAAAACAAGGGCAGTCAGCTGATCAGTAAAAATGTAAATGGCAACAACATTTAGAACACTATCCTAATCTAGTACATACTCTGTGTTTGATTCTGTAAACCCAGTAAAAGAATCCCTGAGGTATAAAAGCCTTCAAGACACTAAAATGTCTATCAAGTACATAATCCAATTGCTCAGCGTAAAAAAATACAAAAAAATTGAATGTCTCTTTAATTTTATAAACTTGATGTATCTTAAAACATTTAAAACATGCACAAATCTCGTACATGCATTCACATTCAAATTCACATTCCCACACTCTGTTCCATTTAAGTATAATACTCTGGTTAACCACCACTGGTTTGTGATCAACTCACCAGGGTATAGACACAGTTAAAGTATTTCGGTCCCACTGATACAGCTCCATGTTACTTTACTAAAGTGGTATCAGCTGCACTGATTGCACCAGTGCAGTCTAATGACTTGCCATTAGTCTCTTTCATTACCTGTTCATTTATCCTCAGTGCTAAAACACAACTTCTCTCGTCATTCCAAGTCCAGTATGCCCTCTGAGAGGACGTCTATGGCTTTGGAGACAGCTGAGGAAGAGCTTCCTGGTCCCGAATCCATGAACATGTGAGGGATCTCACTTCCAAAGTAAATCTTACTATTAGCTGCAATTGCCTTAAATTTCATCAGCTGAAGATATTCAGGGGTCAGCTTCAGCTGAGAGGAGAGCAGAGAAGAAAAGTTGAAAACGTTCATAAAACAATGAGCACAGTAAAGATGGGGTGCAGTTTTAGGAGTTTACCTTATTGGCCTCAGCTGCTCTCTGTGCAGTGTAAAAGTCTGCATCTGCTTTTGCTTTCTGCCTAGCAATGAAAGCGCCGTCTATAAAATCAGCGAGACATAGGAGATCAAAATCAACACAACAGAATCATTCAGAGCTGTGTGATGAGGGATTGTCAATATCATTTAAATTCATCCTAAGCATCCCATTTCACACTTATGATTATGAATATATTCAGGCGGTTCACCAAAACCTCAGAAGTTGTCATTCTAATATTATCATTCTGAAATGTTTCTTTATCTACATTTTAATTTATAATTAATTTATTTATTCCACAAGTGAAAGTTTCCAATAATGGTGCAGATACTGTATAAGCCAGTAGTATTCAGCTAGTCATGTGATCTGATAAATGGCGTAGTGCTGCATTTACACTGTGTCATAATTACTGCAATGACAACCTGGCCCTTTTTAGTTGAAATTGTTCACATCCTCAAATGTGGAATTATGAGTGTCTATGCCAACACTATCACTGCCAAAATGTAATTTGAGTAATCAACAGACAAAACCATAATACAACACAAACCAGTTATTAAGCAAATGCATTATTAATAAACATTTAGCCGTTTTTTTTAGCTGGACATTAAGAGTTATTCGACTTTGACAATATGTACTGTAGGTCTTTCATTTATTTTTATCATATTATTATTAATATATTAACAATAGTTATTTAGTAGACAGAATGTTACAATGAACTGCCTAACTACATTTTACAGCTAAAGCCGCTGTCATTTTGAGTGTTTTGACGCTATGCTGCAGTGATCAGTTACAAGAGTTATCAGAAAATTCAGAGCTGACAAGCTGTAATTATGAGTTCTATAAGGACGTGAAGGCACACATCATTGACTTTGAATTTTGAATCTCAAAATTATGACATGGTGTGAACACCTTAGTATCTCAACATGTCGGACCTCATGAGGCAACCAGCTTCCATGTAAAATAAAACTGCTTTTCTTAAGTGACTGAAATGACTGTGTGATCTCATGTAAGTGTACATGACCTGCCAGATTTGTCACTACGTTTACAAGCAGCAAAAACTCAGTTGAGAAAGAATTACAAAAGAAAAAAAAAAAATCTGGCCAGCTTCAGCATCCACTGTACAGACAAGAACAGCAGATATAGCATGAGACCGTACAATAAACTTCTATACAAAAGTTCCAAAGCATGATCGGAAGGAAAAAGTCCTTGCATCTGCCTCTTCAAAACCATCTTGCACACATACACTGAGAAAATAAGCTATTTGTCATTCTACTCAGTGTTTATAATCACAGTATTTCAGAAATACTCAGACTGTCCATAATTTCTAAACTAATGTTCGCATTAAACCATTACACTGTGGCATTTAGTACGTGTATTTCAGTCTAGTAGTCTTTTTTTCTCCCAATACTACTGTAAGAAGGTTAAGAAACCCAGCCTTGAAAAAACATTACAAAAACTGCCCAGCAGATAACACAAGGACCAGTAAGAATATCATTATTAAAACTACTGAATGTTTTTACAGAAACAGTCCATTCCTTTCCACTGAGCTTCTTTCAGATTTTGGAACAATTCAATGTAAATGACACATAATGAATTGATATATATATGTTACATAATGCATTTTGCAAGTTAGTATCTGTCAATGGACAAACTGGCTTGTTTTGTCGATGTCCTGCACTAATGATAATGACCTGTTTTGCATGTAATTTCATGACATCCATTAGTCTCGGGCATACATTCATTTATTCTCTTGTGTCATTTTCACACAGTTTTCACATTAAGGAGACAAACGTTCAAAAGTTTTGAACAATGTGCTTCAAAATGAACTGCATGTTGGTTTGGTAGACAAATGTTGTTAACTATTTGAATAATGACCGACATGAACTTGAACTTAGCACAACTTGACACATTATTTGAAAACCTGGCCTGTACTGCAAAGAATCTATCCCTGCCAAATGATCATGGCCCGGTTCTTGACGGCTATAGAAGGGTGGGCTGGCAAATATCCTGGGTGGGCATTTTTTAGTCATTATATCAACACATAGTCTAGAAGATATTTATACTGTAGATATTTCTATATTAACCATATTACAGTATATGTACACTGAAAAAAGCTTTCCTGCGCAGCCTAGAATATCATGCACTTTCACAGCAAAATTAACTTTTTTTTCTTTATTGAATAGTAAATCCATAATCATGTCTAGAACATTGGAGGGACCAATTGTTTTGAGGAAAATATAAAGACCAGACCACTATGGTAATGGTATTTATTTAAAGGG